CCGCAAGGTGAAGGGTGACTTGACGTACGTTGTTACTCAGCAAAGTCAGTTGATTCATGAGTTTGCCCGGATGCAGATCCAGCTAGTGGATGCACTTCCTACAGCCAGTTTGGGGAGTGTGAATTCCATACAGGTTCAGCCGACGCTGAGGGAGAGAATCCGGCAAGAGCAGGCTTCAGATGAGTTTATTCGTACGATTGATGCCAAGGTTCGTGCCGGAGGCGTCGAGGGTTTTCACCGAGGCGCTGATGGGGCCTTGGAGTTTCGTGGCAGGATTGTGGTGCCATAAGTCGAAGCATTGAGGAAGGAGATTTTATCTGAGGCTCATACTGCACCCTATCTAGCCCATCCAGGAAGCACAAAGATGTACCATGACCTGAAAGGGTCGTTTTGGTGGAAGGGATTGAAGAAAGATGTTGCCGACTTTATAAGAAGATGTTTGACCTGTCAGCAAGTCAAAGCCGAGCATAAGAGTCCGATAGGCCTTCTACGACCACTGCCGATTCCGAGGTGGAAGTGGGAGGAGATTGCGATGGATTTCGTTACGGGGTTACCAAGGTCGTCTGAACATCACGACGCGATTTGGGTCGTGGTCGACAGATTGACTAAGGTTGCCCACTTCTTGCCAGTATCGATGAGTATGTCTTTGGATCGGTTGGCTGAGATTTATGTCCGTGGGATCGTTCGACTCCATGGAGTACCTGCTACTGTTGTGTCAGACAGAGACCCCAGATTCACCAGTAGATTCTGGAAGAGTTTACACGAAGCAATGGGTACGAAGTTAGCATTCAGTTCAGCCTACCATCCCGAGACTGATGGACAGACATAGCGGACTATACAGACGTTAGAGGATATGTTATGCGCCTTGACTGTTGACAGGGGTGCTAAATGGGAGTCTTTATTATCGTACGACGAGTTTGCGTACAACAACAGTTATCATTCTTCCATTCAGATGGCTCCTTATGAGGCACTATACGGTCGTAAATGTCGTTCCCCTCTTTATTGGGACGACGTCGGAGAACGTCGAGTACTCAGTCCGAAGCTAATCGAGGAGACAGCCGAGCAAGTCGAGTTAATCCGGCAGAGACTCAGAACAGCTCAGAGCAGAATGAAATCAACCGCCGATCATCATTGGCGAGATATTTAGTTCGAGGTTGGCGAGCACGCTTTTCTCAGAGTTAGTCCATTTCGCGGAGTTATTCGATTCGGGAAGAGAGGGAAGTTACACCCTCGGTTTATTGGCCCGTTCGAAGTACTCGAGCGAGTGGGCGATGTTGCGTATCGTTAAGCCTTACCTCCCGAGCTATCCAGTGTGCACAATGTTTTTCATGTGTCTATGTTACGCAAGTACGTGTGCAACCCCGATCATGTCATTCCTCATAATGATATTGAGAATCATCCAGACTTATCTTACGAGGAGCGACCGGTAGCTGTGTTGGACCGACAGGTTCGATGACTCTGGAAGCATAATGTTCCCCTCGTTCGTATTCAGTGGGATCGCCACGGAGCCACTTGAGAGCAGGAGGCTGACATTCGCGCTCGTTTTCCCGACTTTCAGTTCTGATGTGTATAATTTCATGTATATATATGTTTTGTTTTATATTTCTGAGGACAGAAATATTTTAAGGAGGGTAGATTGTAATAACCCAACTTCTTGTTAATATAAGTGATGTATTATCTTGTATAATTTCCGTTCATTTTCAGCGAATAAGTTCGACGTTAAATCGAAAAGTTTATCCGGTTAATTATTAACCGAGTCAAATTCGATAATTAATTTTCGAACCGTTTATTTTGTAAACGGACATTATTAATCGGGATTAATTATTAATAGTTAAGGATGCTCGGAATTTAATGTTCAAGGTCATGTTGAATCATGAGTGCACAAGGTACATTAAGTGTACACGAGTACATGCACTTATGCGTGCATGGTGTGCGTACAGCCGTACGCATGAACATGCTGATGACGGATCGATCTTTTGTCTATACTGGGTTGCGAATAAACGACGCACTGAGGCCTTCGTTTATCCCCGATAGATGTGTCTAACAGACGCACTGCGGCCTTCTCCTAGACACCGTGACTTCAAGACGCACTATTGGCCTTCT